TGTGTACCATGTCCAGAGCTGCGCTTGCCTGCTCCTTCCAGCCCTTGTTCCAATCCCTGCTCTGCCCTGCTCTATCCTGCTGCCTTGTTCCCATCCTGTTTCAGCTTTGTTTTCATACCAGCTCTTGCTCGTGCTCCAGCCTCTGTTCCCAACCATGGCTTCTGACTTTGATCCTCAGCTCTGCATTTTGCTTATGACTTTGGGTTACCCTCTGGTTCTGGTATTCAGCTTCTGTCCTTCTGGTACTGACCCCCAGCTCATTCCTGGACTCTGTCCCTCTAGACCAGCCTCTAACTCTGGGGTTCTCAAACTGGTGATCGGGACCCCTCTGGGAGTCGCAGGCTGTCAGCCTCCACCCCAAACCCCGCTTTGCCTCTAGCATTTATAATGGTGTTAAATATATAAACAAGTGTTTTTAATTTATAAGGCGGAGTCGCACTCAGAGGCTTGCTGTGTGAAAGGGTTCACCAGTACAATAGTTTGAGAAATGCTGCTCTAACTTGTAGGTTGAACTATCATTTGAACCATTAATCCTGACTAAAGCCTGGGTCACAAAGAGTCACTTCTGTTGTGTGGAGTCTAGTTGACATATTGACAAAGTACACCATTTAAAAAAAATATATTAACTTTACATTGCCAGTACTAACAAGCCCTGCCTTGACTGCTCTACTTCTATATTGCACACTTTCCCCTTAAGCTCTCTGTCTTTAGATGGTGAACTCCTCAGGTCAAGTACTTTGCCATATTTGCTGTTTGGAGAATGCCTAGCACATTGTGGGTGCTACCAAAATCAAAGAAATTTCAATTTCAGGGAAAAATTAGTCAAAAGTTTACTGCCACATGTAATCATTATATTATTTATTTTTTTGCTTCTAGATGTATGTGTATGTTTATGCTTGTCATCCCTTTTCCACAATGCTGACTTAGCACAAGCCAGCAACTTCTTGTGAACAAAATAAGTCTGGATTTTGTAGATTGTTCAGAAGAGCACTGATTAATATCTGTCTCTCAATTCTGGTAATGAATATTTGCTCTAAGTATTAGGGAAGTTTAAGGATAAATCTACTTCCACGTTTTTGGTGTGGAAGTTCATGAATATCAAATAGTGGCTATGTTTTCCCATCAGATAGACAGTGCTTTCATGGTCTAACAATATGCTGCATGCAGAGCAGGAGGTCTGTTACTGTCAGTAAATGGGGATGCCAACAGGCTCCAGCAAATGTTATACATTAACAAGGTGATCCAGACTTGCTGGTCTGAAAGCTTTGAAATGTAGAATTGTCAGTTTTCTTTTTAGAAAAGCACTCCATTTATGAAATTGATATTTGAACTGAAAAAGATGTTGAAGGGGATAGTTATAGTGTCTTTCTGAAAATGGCACGTCTATATTTTTATTACATGGTTTATTTGTTAAAGGGGCTCCAAACCAGCACCCCTGAACTTTAGGGAAGTTGGATCCAAATTCTGATCTTGAACTTTTGGGGAAGGATAGGACATAAGGAATCAAAATTGTTGAATTGCTTGGATTCATGTGAAAACTGATTCCAGTTTTAGCGATGTGATGACTCCTCTTTAAAACAACTTCCAGTCAGAAAAATAAGAAAAATCTCAAGGAGAGCGCAATCTACAGTTGTCTACTTCTTTCACTTAAGCTGTGTCTACACTGCGCACCTTACAATGACATGGCTGTGCTGCTGCAGCTGCGCCATTGTAAGGTGCACTGTGTAGACATTCTTTATCACCAGGTGAGAGCTCTCCCAGCAACAAAATAAAACCACCTCCAACGAGGGGCGGTCACTTCATCCCCAGGAGTGCGAACCGGCAAAGTGCTGTCCACACCAGCACTTTTCATTGTTACAACATTTGTCCTTCAGGCATGTGGTTTTTTCACACCCCTGAGTGACCAAAGTTTTAACGATGAAAATGACAGCGTAGACGAAGCCTTAGTCAACGTTTTCAGAATTTATTGTCACCTTCTCACCAGCCAATAATCATTTTCCTGTTCTGAAGCCTTCGTTTTAGCTGAATGTGTCCAATCTTTTGTATGCAGTGTTGTAACTGTGTCAGCCTCAGGCTATTTGAGGGACAAGGTGGGTGATATCTTTTATTGGACCAACTTCTGTTGGTGTGAGACACAATCTTTTGAGTTTACACAGAGCTCTTCTTCAGGTTTCCATTCCTTATGCTAGGTGGAAATCTTGGGCTTGATTCACCACTTTCTTGCTAGTGTAAAACTGGTGAATCTGGTTCGGGTATTGAACCTAAGAAGGCTGGTAGAACCAAGTTTTTGTTCTAACAAAAACTCAGACCTAATCTAGGAAATCTGTTACTCGGCTTTGGTAATCAAGAAGAATATTTTAAAATTATCTCTACTAAATTCTGCTTATTTATCTAGTTCTGTGTCTAGATTAAAGACCAAACTGAAATTTGGGCAAACTATACAAGAGAAAAATTGGAGGGAGTAACAAGAAAGAGTCTAACATCTGAGTCTTGGAGAGTTAAAAATTAAAAGAATCAAAATTAGGTATATAACAGGAACAAGATTAAAATAATAAGGTTTGATTTAATATATGCCATGATATAGTAAGAGATAATCAGATCATCTGAAGTTCTGAATGCCTCTCATAAGGTGCTGTACCTTCAGTTCCCAATTCAGTAAGGGTTGTGCGAGCTTATTCTTCACTGAACCTGTTCAGCATCTCACAGGATTGTGCCCAAATTAAGACAATTCAGAATTTATGTGGTGCAGAGGTGAATTGAATTTAAAATGTGTGTTATATCTTATAATTAGGACAATTAGGTGGTAACTTTACAGAGACAATATAAGGGGAGAGAGAGAGAAGGCTTAAAGAGAAGAGAGGGAGATGCCAAAAAGAACTTAGTCAGTGGCAGAAAGTGCTACTTGAAGAAAGCCGTTTCAAGCACTGGAAAATAAGACTGTCCAATATTTTTGGTCCTATTAGAGTACATCCAGAATACATAATATAGAAAATACATTTTCTATATTAGGACTTCAGGCCTCCCACCCACAGATTTGTAATGTAAAACTGCTAAAGAGCTCCCTTTTGACATCTGTCGTCTTCAGAATCTTTTCTTCTTCTTCGAATAGTGTCCCTATGGGTGCTCCATTCTAGGCGTCTTCGCATCCCTGCTCCTCAGATTGGAGTTATGGTAGCAGTGTCCATTTGGCCTGCACATGCAGTCTCCCTGTCTCATACTCTACTCTGTTGCTATATAGCACTGTGCATGCAAACTGCTCTCAGTTCCTTCTCAGCTGCCTTTGGCTTGAGATGGAGTCTTAAGCAGAGCTCATTACAAAGATTTTTCTTAGTGTTTTTTCTTACTAGTTTTTCCTTAGTAGTAATAGTATTTCAGTTAGTGTTAATACTTAATTTTTTTTTTAATGAAAAGAGAATAATTTCGCTTACAGAATAGTTATCTCCTTAGCATAAATTAGATTCCGTAGCTCTTCCAATTCAGGAAGTGAACCCCGAAAGGAGTATACCTGGCTCCCATGGGTTTAAACATTGCCTCTCCTGTTCGGAAGCCATTCCTGTCAGCAATGGCCATTCTTGCTGCATTCACTGCCTAAGAGAGGCACAAATGCCTCACAAGTGCATGTTTTGTCTTAAATTAAAATCCAGAACCAAAGAGCTGTGAGCTGAAATTAAGACTGCTCATGATCGAAAGCTCACTCCAACCAGCCCCAGGGCCCGGGACCTCCCTGTTGAGACCATTGCCATCAATATTGTCTGATCAAAACTCTTCAGTGACTTCAAAGAGGAAATCCTTAGATTCCTCTCAGAAAGTCTCGAAAAAGCAGGCCACAAGTTCCCCAGGCAGGGAATTGGCCAAGAGAAAGAGGACCCTTTAGTCAATAACCTCACTACTGACTGACCCGTGACTAGGTACCTATGAGTTTGCAGGATCCTCCCGATACCACCGGTAAGCCCAAAGACTCTTAAGTGGGCAGGCTCGGGCAGAATGGTACCCTCAAGGGAAAGGAGCGGCAAAGAAAGACCCAGCTCCTCTAAAACGGTACCTCTGGAGTCTTGTAGACAATTGGTATCTACTATGCTGGCACTGCAAAAGGCTACAGCAACACCTGTTGGCCATTCCTCAGAATGCAGAGGGCCTGAAGTACTGACAGCTGTGTCCACTTCAACGGTGCCTACTCAGCTGGCCTCAACGATACTGATGGCTGTTCCAGTGCCACAGGAATTTCGGTTCCTCAAAGACTTGATAGTATTGGAGACAGATTCCTGAATCACCCTTAGTAGGCACTGACATAACTGCAGTATGGGTTATGCCCGGATGTCCATGACTGCTCCACCCCTGTCAAGTGACAAGAAAGAGGATGGGGATGAGCTATACTCAGTGTCTCTCCAGGGGTCTCCATTACAACACCAGGGAGCTAGCCAGGTAGAAACTCATGTGCCTTCAGTCTACCATCAGAGTAGAGGAGACCGACCTAGTTGGTATGGACACTACTGGATACTCCCATTCCTGCCCTTTCCACCAGCTCAGTGGCCAAATTGGGACCCATGGGTGGCATATGGACAACAATTTTTGAGGGCCTCTAGCTTACCTAAAGAGTTAAAGGAAGGTGATCTCCTGCAGCTTCAATAGTCAGACCTCCTGATCCTCAAGAGGAGACCTTTGAGGAACAGAAGGAGAGACTAGACAAGGAAGCCACTCCTGTGACCAACATTTTCTCATCTCCTGATAAGTCAGTTATGCCTCCCCCACCAACTGTGGCAGACAACTTCAAACAATTTTAGGATCTCTTTAAGAGGGTACTGGATTCTCTGCAAAACCCGCTTGAGGAAGTCAGTGTCAAAGCATAAACTGCTTGACATCCTACAGATGTCATCAGCAAAAATGGCACTCCTCATCAATGAGCGCTGCTTGATTTGGTGAAAACTGTATGGCAGACACCAGACACGATACCTACCCCCAGCATGCAAAATGGCAGACAAAAAATATTATGTGTCCTCTAAAGTAGGGGGCTTTTTATTTTCTCATCCCCTAATTCACTGGTCGTTGACACTGTTAATGAACATGGCAGACAGTACTATGCTAAAACGACACCATACAATAAGGACTGAAAATGACTGGATTTATTTGGGCGTAAATAATATTCTTCAATAAATATTCTACATTTTAGGATCGCTAATTATCAAGCCTTCATGGCAAAATAAAACCATACCAATTAATTGAAATTAAATACCTTTATTGAACACATCCCTTTGGATGAGAGAGAGGAATTCCAGGCTATCGTTGCTGAGGGTCAGCTCCTTGCGAGGACAGCAATGCAGGCTTCTCTGGTTGCTGTCGATAGAGTTGCACTTTCCAACTTCACAGCAGTTGTCATGAAGAGAACATCTTGGCATCATCTCTGCGGCTTTCTAAAGAAGTTACACATCATGGTGGAGGACCTCCCTTTTGAGAGATCTAAATTGTTTGCAGAAAGAATGGAAGAATCACTCCACACATTGAAAGATTCTAGGGCTACATTATATTCTCTGGGTGTTTATACTCCTGCCCAGAAAAGAAGACTCAGTAAGTACCAGACGGCACAGAGATCCTGGCCTACTCACTTTCCTTCTCCCCAGAGACATTAGGATCCTCAAAGGAAGAGGCAGAGATTACAGAAACAGAGACCAACTGCTCCCCAGTTATTGACATTGCACCCATTTACATCCAATTTTGATGTGTTGTTCAAGGCCTCAAGTTACCTCTCGCAGTCTCATTTGCTCAAACTATCCAAACATCTCCACCAATTTGGTGACTGTCTTACTCCTTTTTATCAAAACTGGAAGCATTATAACCTCAGACAAGTGGATATTAGAGATTATCTCCAAGGGATATTCAATCCACTTCACCTTCCTCCCTGCCTCTCTTCAGGGACCTTTCTCACAAGCATTGTAACACGAAGAAATGTACCACCTCCTAAAACTAGGTGCCAGAGAACCTGTTTCCACCCAACACAGAGGGAAGGGTTTCTATTTCAAATACTTTCTGACACAGAAAAAGAACGGCAGTTAGAGACCCATTCTGGATTTAAGGGCACTCAACAGTTTCAATACAATACAATAAAATACAATACAGTATTTCAAGACAGTTACCTTGGCAGCAATAATCCCATCTCTGGACCAAGGGGACTGGTTCTCGGCCCTCAGCCTACAAGATGCTTACTTTCATAACACAAACCACCCATCATACAGAAGGTTCCTAAGAGTCACTCTGTGTCAAGATCATTTCCAATACAAAGTGCTCCCATTTGGTCTATCATCAGCACTTAGGGTATTCTTGAAAGTCCTTTCTGTGGTAGCAGCACATCCTCACAAACAAGGCATCATGATATTTCCATATCTAGATGATTGCTAGCTCAAAGTACATACATTAACCTACTCCTTGAGAGACACACGAAAAACTATAGATCTATTCCTACAACTAGGTCTATAACTAAATACCCAAAAGTCCACTGCAACAGCTGGAATTCATAGGAACCTGCTTAGATGCAATAGAGGTCAAAGCCTTTGTCCCATCACATTGTTCAACATCTTAGCCAGCTTAATCTTGACAGTTCAGGCCAATCTGCGGATTTCAGCCAGAACCTGTCCGCAACTACTGGGGCATATGGCAGGTGGGCACCTTTGTAATAAAGCATACAAGACTACACATGCATTGTCTTCAAGGGTGGCTCAAAATGGTATATATCCCAAGAAGACACAATTTAAACAAACTTCTGTCAGTTTCCTCAAGAGTCAAAAACTCACTCAACTGGTGGGCAGATCCTCACAAGCTATGTACGGGAGTCCCCTTCACTCAGTCAACCCTGATGTTGATGATGGATGGCATCCCTAATGGGATGGGGAGCCCACTTGGACACCGACACCTACACCATTCAGGGCAAATGGTCCCCTCTCGAATCCACACTACGTGTCAACTTACTAGAGCTCAGAGTAGTCAAGAATGCATGACACTCTTCCTACCAATGATCAAAGGCAAACGTAAAGATTATGACAGACAACATTGCATGCATGTTCTATATAAACTGCCAGAGAGGAGCAAGATCACATTCCCTATGTGCCAAGGCAGTGCAAATATGGAACTGATGCATTTGTTACCAGATCAGTATCTCAGCAACTTTATGTCCTGAGCATACAGAACACTATGGCGGATATTCTCAGCAGAAAAGTTTCCAAGATTACGAATGGGAAGTAGACAATACCATCCTTCACAACATATTCATACATTGGGGAACTCCAAAGATAGACCTGATCACCCCACCCAAGAACAAGAAATGCTCTCAATTCTGCTCCAGAGAATGCCTGGGTCACCATTCTCTTGGAGATGCTTTTCTCCCCAGATGGAACAGACACGTGTGATATGCATTTTCACCAATTCCACTAATATCAAAAGTGATATTAAAGATAAAGAAAGAAAAGGCCAGAGTTGTTGTTATAGTTCCAGTGTGGCCAAGACGGACTTGGTTTCCATACCTTTTTCAGCTGGCGGTCTGTCCACCATTTACTCTCCACCCTGTTCCTCTTCTTTCTCAAGATTTGGGCCAGATCCGTCACGCAAATCTGCAAGTTCTCCTGCTCAAAGCATGGCTCCTCAATAGTTCCAAAACTTAGAAATGAACTGTTCTGAGGATGTGAAGGAAGTACTGTTACATAGCAGAAAAATAATTACTTGTCACACACATAAGAAATAACTGTTTTTTTTTTAAATCTGCTAATTGTGACATTTCATAGATACTTACAGAAATGTCATTCAACTTGCTCACAAAAACCCATTGTTTTTAAAAATGTGATCAATAGCACCAAATCATTCTTCCTGCTTAAACCATAGAGCTCTTAAATTGTATTTACCAATTCTTTATCAGCTTGTCAATAAAATTCATTCAGATTTCACAGAATGGTAGGGTTAAATTCACTGAAGTTTGGAAACTGCTTTGAGATCCTTGGATAGAAGGTGATATATCAGTGCAAAATATTACTGTTTAAAAAATTGAGAATATGATTCCTCTCCAAATGCATTTTTATTTGATAATACATTCCTACATTTAAAATTTAGTTGATATTCTCCTTTTTAAAAATTCAAGTATATTAGAAGCTCTCTGAGATACAATCTAGGACAACGTTTTCCATCAGCCAAACAAAAGACCAAGTTAGAATACTAAAATAACCTATGCAACAAAATGGTCTAATCTGTAGTTGAAAAGATATTTTGCTTTCTTTTCAAACAAGACATGCTTTTTATATCTTTAAATAGTTTTTGTGCATCTACTGGATATTAAATACAAGAAGTTACAATTATTATTATATATTATTTTGGGCATCCCAAAGTGTGTTAAGGATAGTACAGAAACAAGTAAAGACACATCCCCTGCCTTGAAGATCCTTTGAGCTAAATTCAGACATGACACTACAACTTAGGGTAATAAAGATAGGAAAGGGGAGAAGTAGGACGAGAGAGGTAATAGTAGGATTATGCAGTTACTCAATTAAGGCATGTATAAAACTTTTGGTTTCACTGATTTGTGTTATTAAAAATGCTTTTGGAGAGGAATCCTATACTGTACTTAAAAAAGCGAATGCAAATAAATGTCTCCATTCGTATAATAGTGAGTTCATAACACCTATCTGACGATGTGTATGAAAAACTTCTCTTACAGCGGTAAATATAGCTAGAGCTGCATTTTAGTAATGTTCTAGTTAATGAAGTTCTGTTTACCAATCCCAGCCCAGTATGGGCTGGATCCTACAAGGTGCTGAGTGTTCTGGCCTTGATCCAGCAGTGCCTTTTTGCACATTGTTAACATTAAGCACAAGTGTCATTGAAGTATAGTTAAGAAAATGCTTAAGTGCGCCACTGGATCAGGGCCAGTGTGCTTAGTACCTTGCAGAATAGAACCCTATTTATCAGTGATGGTAATACATATTTTGAAAATATGATTTCCTACTAAACTAAACTTTCATTGTTCTATCTTAATAACACTATAATTATGATCAGTGTATGCTCCCCACCCTCCACAGTTTTTAGAAGCTAAGGGTTTAGTAGTCAAAGGTCTGATGATCATGGAACCAGTAGCTTTGTGTTAGTATAATTTCTAGAAGGAGAGTCATGTAGGAACAGAGCACAAATTCATAGTTGTGTGTTAGGGAAATGTTCTTGTTTGAGAAACAGGACCAATGAAGCACTGGTGTTTTCAGTTCAGATGCTTTAATTTGGAATGTTAAAACAGAGGATAATCTTCTCCCACAGGATCGAGGTGATGAATTCACTTACACTGGGAGTGGTGGTAGAGATCTTTCTGGTAATAAAAGGATTGGAGAACATTCATTTGATCAAACATTAACACACATGAACAGGTAAGTTTTTTGAAGTATAAATTAAATTAAGGTCTTTCAAAGAACAATACTGTTAGATTCCATTTATTTAAAACAAATTTTTGATACCTTCCTTTTATCTCATAAAACCCTTGTAAATGATGGTACCTCTGGCTATCCACTGGCATTTCATCCATGCCCTGTTATATTGATTTAAAACAGTAATTGTAGCTGAATAAAACACATTGCTATATTATAGGTTGAGCTGGTAGCTATGCCTTTGGTTAATGTTGCTTAACACTTTCCACTATAAGAGCCGGTTTTCAGTGGCATAACTTTGCGAAACTTTGAGTGTTCATGCTGAAATTTTCCATGCCAAGTGTCTGGCTAAGGCAGACTTAGTTATTTAGCTAAAATGGTTAACCATTTGCAAGAAATAAGTTAGGGAGAATATGTTTTACCCAGGTTAAAAAAAAATGTGATCTGTTTCACTGAAGTGCTAGTTCATCCATGTATTGGAGCAGTGCATGAAATTAGGGGTTGTCCTGATGTCAAGGATATTTCTTTTGCTGTCCCCGTGAAAATCTGCCTAATTTTTGTCAAGTTATAAGCCTCTGAAAAATTGCAGTTCAGACATGCGCAGTAAAGGCTTCGTAAAGTTTGGCAGCCATATTCTCTGAAGATTCTGCTGGCAGTGGGCATGTTTCATCATCGTCACAACTCCTAGATGCTGACCAGACTGCGCATGCATTATTCCCATAGGTCGACTGAGCATAGTGCAGTGCAGAGTTGCAAAGACCGAGTAGGACTTTCCCTGCAATCTTTCCTTCTGGCAGCACAGTTCCACTGTAATGCCAGGCATTAGAACTGAGAGATGGAGACTCCCATACTCTCAGTGCTCCCCCTGCTGGTGCCCAAGCAGTGATGAAGAAGAGAAGGAACAGCCTAACTTGAATACAGAGGGATGTGAAAGAGGGCAACAAGAACTAAGGTGGGAGTGTTGAGAACATAGGGACAGAGACAGGCTTGGGTGACAGTGTTAGCAGAGTTTTGCACGGGCAGCCTTAATGCAGGCATTTCTTATTATTTGCATCCTTGACTTTGTAACCTTACTGTTCTTTTAATGTAGTTTTTTGTGCTTAATTGTTACATAGTTCCTGTAGATATAAAACACAGTTTTATCTCAAATGAGGATATAAGTAATCTGGATAAAAGGTAGTAGATACGTTTTATGATTTAGTGCATTAATGTTTTTGCAGTCTAGTGCTGGACCTCGGTCATGTCAGTGTTCAAAATTAATTTTTTGATCTTTGCTATAGCAGACATGGCATTCAGCCTTCTTATTACAGGAAGCCACTCAGTGAGTGGGCATGGATTGAAGCATTTCCCCACCTTTCAAGCATGAGTCTACTGCTGTCTTAAAGTGGTCTGTCAAAAAGAGCTGTGGTTGCTTTGTTTGTCACCTTTATTTCTAGTTATCAGATGATTTGGTTGCAAGACTAGTATAAATAACAGCACTTCAAAGATGCTATGTGGTTGGGGGTTTTGTTGTACTCACAGAATTCCTTAGAATTCACAACGGTTCTCTACCTTGTTTACATAGGATTCCAGGCAACATGATAATGCTTTCCCCAACCAGCATAGGATAAAAAAGGAATTTCTGATGACATCATCTCTGATGGAGCGCATCAGTGCCCTGTCAGTTGATTTTCATTCGCAAGCAGCAGAACAGATCTGTTATAGCTCTCCTGAGCTATTTCATTAAATGCTTTCACTTGTTGTTTAACTGCACCTTTTCACATTAGCTTTTTCATATCTCCACCAAAACTCAATGTGAGGGATCTCTGTCATTTAAGCAGTACATGCAGAAACATTTATTTTGGCATTGAAGAAGAAAGAGAAGCCTACTGTGATTTTAACAAAAAACATTTCTGCTTTTTGATGATTCATCAGTTTTTCGACTGTACAGGAATGCATTTAAATGATCAGCCTTTACCCCTGGACTCTTCACTAAAGCGATGATGATCCAGATATTTTCATAAAGAGGGAATTTCATCTATCTGTGTGTTGCTAGTCGGTGTTCATATAGGTAGATTTCTTTTAAGTATTCCGGGTTGCCAAACTGAAGTATTGCAATTTTTCACAGAACATGGCTGCATTTTTATTATGTGCAGAAGAAAGTCAAACAACATATTACCAATTTTTGGGACAAGATTAGGCAGAGTTATTCAGGAAAGGTGATCAGTGTCCAATCCTGTACTTAGCCTGTATATGAATAAATGACATCTTATACTGACCTAAAGTCACTGAGAAACTTCATTTTGCATTTCCTCAAAAGCCATCTTCTGAATTTAATAAGGTAGTAGTTCACATGGGAAATTCCACCATATTCCTTTTCTGAGTGTTAACCTGACTCCTCTGGTGATTAAACATAAGGGACCAAATTTTCAGAACAAGAAGAATCATAGAATCATAGAATATCAGGGTTGGAAGGGACCCCTGAAGGTCATCTAGTCCAACCCCCTGCTCGAAGCAGGACCAATTCCCAGTTAAATCATCCCAGCCAGGGCTTTGTCAAGCCTGACCTTAAAAACCTCTAAGGAAGGAGATTCTACCACCTCCCTAGGTAACGCATTCCAGTGTTTCACCACCCTCTTAGTGAAAAAGTTTTTCCTAATATCCAATCTAAACCTCCCCCACTGCAGCTTGAGACCATTACTCCTCGTTCTGTCATCTGCTACCATTGAGAACAGTCTAGAGCCATCCTCTTTGGAACCCCCTTTCAGGTAGTTGAAAGCAGCTATCAAATCCCCCCTCATTCTTCTCTTCTGCAGGCTAAACAATCCCAGCTCCCTCAGCCTCTCCTCATAAGTCATGTGTTCCAGACCCCTAATCATTTTTGTTGCCCTTCGCTGGACTCTCTCCAATTTATCCACATCCTTCTTGAAGTGTGGGGCCCAAAACTGGACACAGTACTCCAGATGAGGCCTCACCAATGTCGAATAGAGGGGAACGATCACGTCCCTCGATCTGCTCGCTATGCCCCTACTTATACATCCCAAAATGCCATTGGCCTTCTTGGCAACAAGGGCACACTGCTGACTCATATCCAGCTTCTCGTCCACTGTCACCCCTAGATCCTTTTCCGCAGAACTGCTGCCTAGCCATTCGGTCCCTAGTCTGTAGCTGTGCAGACTTATCTAATTTGCCTAATGTATGAATCTGAACAGCCACCGTTTGATCACAAACTTTCTGTATGCACAGCAGTGCATGATTTTTTTGCACATAGACCTTAGTACTCTTTTTTAAAACTTGGCCTCAAGAATTTAATATAGTTCAGCTACAGTGGCTTGCAGTTATGACAGATAGTAGTCTTCATGGTTAGGGTCCACTTAGATGATGATAATAATGATAATAATTAATAATTAATGAACAGGCTGCTAATAGGTTACAAACTATTTAAAAAAAAAGATATTCCAAGTGAGTTGTGCTCTTCAACATTAACCTTATACTATGACAATTGATACAGTTTTGTCACAGTAAAATAATGCATAATTAATGGCACAGGCAAAGTAAAAAATATATAATTTCTCACTGTGGTCACAGCAATGTTATGGACTCTGTTGCCATTCATTAACAGTTCATTAGTTTGCTTTGATCTAGTCCTCTTTGAAATGAGACTTCACCAAAGCAAACTAACAAAGTGTTAATGCATAGCCGCTGATCAAACCAAATAAATAAACTGTGAATGCGTGGCCAAGAAGTCCTGGGCAAACATCTATTAGTAAACTTTGTTAGAGTTCAGACAGTGATGAATTCTTTCCTGGAAAACTAGTTTATTTTCTATAGGTTCTCACTCTGAGATAATGAAAAATTTTCAAAGCATTATTCATTGGGTACATTTGCACAGAAAAAAAAACAACCCATGGCAGCGAGTTGCAGAGCCTGGGTCAACTGACTTGGGTGGTACAGAGCTAAAAATAGCAGTACAGATATTCCCGCTTGGTCTGGAGCCTGAGCTCTGAAATCCAGTAGGTGGTTAGTAGCCTAATCTTAAAATTGTTATTGCTCACACAGTACCTATTCTTTGGCAGTTTCACAGGCAAAGTAAAGTAATGCTTTAGCTATTGAGATCTGTTGGACAATTATTGCATACCTTTTCCAGATATGACTGTTTGGCTGGTTTTATATCTTCACACGTGTTTATTGGCTAAAATACTAATTCCTGTATACAGTTTACTTTTTCCCATACTTTTTATTTTTGGAAAGATGACACTTTAGAAAACCTGATAACCTGAAATGATGTGGAAGGAAGAAGAGGGAGATATAAACTTTGCCTTAGCTGATGCTGATCATTTAGATTTTATCATTCCTGCCACATTTTTTGAGAAATAACTACTCTAAGATACGAATAATCAGCTTTTTGCATGCCGTCATGTTTTGCCTGTTAGCATCCCTAAGGTTTTCTACTTGAACACTTAAAACAAAATTCCATGTGGTTCCATTTTTTTCCCCCTGTCATGCATGGCAGAGCTGTTACTGATACAGATGCTAGAAAACTCCTATTGTCACTTCTGGCCCCAGTCCACTTTCTTGGGGAGGACTTTACTAGAAATCTGGTTATCTATCCCTTTGCTAGTTGGTGAAAGCATAATCTGGCAAGGCAAATAAAGTGTGACCTAGTCACATTCATGCTGAGCATTATATTTTATGATGCATTATATTACATGAAGATTTTTTAATATGTTTTTAGGGCACTGGCCCTAAACTGTGATGCTCCATTGGATGATAAAAATGGAGCAGAGTCTAAGAACTGGAGAGCTGGTAAGCCAGTTCGAGTGGTGCGCAGTTCTAAAGGACGAAGGATCAGCAAATATGCCCCTGAGGAAGGCAATAGATATGATGGCATTTATAAGGTACACAGTCTTCTGCTACCTACTTTATTGCATTTTAAGAGGAAAATGCTGTTTAGATTCTTAGTGTTTCATAGCCTTTATTATTACATTGGAAGAAAGTGATCATGGTATCTTAGTAAAGATTATGTAGCTTAGCTTATTCTGTATTGAAGACCATTTGAAATGAAAGTATTCAAAGCAACAGTAACAGAACATAGTCCATAACAAGGATATATCAATCTGAGTAGATAAGCTGTCTTTACAAACATGGACAGAACCAAACTGATCCCTGGGAATCCATTCATTTTAACCCCACGCCTCCCAAAAAATTTTTTCACACGCTTCTTAAAATCCTAGCATCTACCATAAGGATGTATATCACTGAACATACTGTTCTACATTTATTGAAATAGCCATTTGACAGTGGAGGGAAGAGAAGATTTAAAACTGTAGTGTATATAATATGATTCAAGTCTGCTTTGTTCTCCTTGATCTATATACAGTATGACTATTTATGTGTATTTGATGGTTTATGGTAAAATAATGAAAATCCAGTGAAGTGAGAACATTCAACTTCTGGCAGGATTTGCTTGAATTTGATTTGGGGACCTAGTATGACACAATTTTATAAGCTGTTGGAGAAAATGAATAAACTGGAACTGTTGTGATTTAGGTGGTGAAATATTGGCCAGAAATTGGAAAATGTGGATTCTTAGTTTGGCGTTATCTTCTGAGAAGAGATGACGTTGAACCTGCGCCTTGGACCTCAGAAGGAATAGAACGGTCAAAGAAATTGGGTCTGAATGTACAGGTTAGAATCTAAATTCACAAACTTGTTTCAATGTTTTAATCAAATAAGTTGAGTCTAACTTAAATTCTAATTGTAAAAAAGTCAGTTAAATTCTATCCCCATTCTTCACATACTCATTGTGGTAGGGCCTAAGATCACAAAATATTTAAGATTTCCAGCAGTTTAGAAAACATTGCAATATTTAGGCAAAGCAGGATGAATTATGGCTGGAGCTTTGGGCCTGAATTACCTTGCTTTTATGTGTTTGTCACTCTTTGAGAGCCCAATAGGACAACTATTACTCACTTTGAATAGTACTCCTGTGAGTTGTTTCATGGTTACTAAATGGAGCTGTAAATGTATCTTCCCTGATAACTTTGAAAAAATGTGTACCTGTGTCTGTTATTTTTCCCAACTTTGTACCCAGTGACTGTGGAGCTCCCACAGAGAGGCCAATCTCTCAGCATTGCAGAACCTCTGAGCAACTGGAAACTCATTTCACATGAGTTCCCCCCCCCCCCCCCCGCTCCCCCACCCGAGTAGCTTTGCCAACTCCCTGTTCTGGAGCTGGGAAGATTCAAGGCAGTATTGCCTTTCTCAACAGGCCAACCTTTTCCTTGGATGGATTACCTTGCCACAGAATCAGCATCTTCAGCTTTAAGTCTGTGGTTTGTGGAGTTTGGAAGGCCATGGATATCTTTCACTGGATTGGTTCCTTTTACATCAAGCTTCATCAGATCTTTATGACTGAATTACAATTACCTAAAAATAGATGTTACACATGTAACTTCATTTTCTTGCTTATGTGAGTCCTTTGAAATTATTTCAATGTGTAGGTTTTGTGGTTGAAGTTTTGGAAATGGACATCCCCATATTCCAGCAGGTTTTGTTTTATCTTTAAAAACAAAAAATCTTTGTTTTTCTGTTTAGTATCCTGAAGGTTATCTGGAAGCCATGGCTAGTAAAGAGAAGAAAGATAAGGTTAAAAAGCAAACTGTGAAACAGGAGCCAACCAGACAGAGCAATGGAAACCAGAAAAGGTCAATTGATAATGGTATGTCTTCTTATTTTTTTGAGATTAGGTAGAGTTCTATCAAGTTGTATATATTTAAAGTCAATAATATGAAAACTGTTAAGAAAACAGGAAGTCATTTGGTATGAGAATGTGAAACAAGAAAAAATGTTAGTGAAGCAAGTATTCAACTAAATGTAAAGGAAAGGTTTGTTCTCATAGGATCCTGTTCAGTGCTGGGAAAGGGAAAAAGGATAAAACTGTACGAGAAAAGAAAATACTGTATAATTTTCTCTCCATTCCTAACACTTTTTCTATTTTTTCAGAAAGAAAAAATGAACAGTCTTATGTGTAGCCTTGTGCTGCAGTCCAGAATAAAGCTGAACAATAGGAAGAATTTATTACAGTTTTTCACAAATAAGATTCCTGTTTATTGTGTTCCCTTCTTAACAGTTCAAACTAACACTCTGCTCTTATTGTGTCTGCTGATAATATTTTTCAGTAGGTATAGAGGAGCCTAAAAAGACACCCAAAACCATGAGAATGGGAGATGGAGGGAAAGGAGAGGCTTTCCAGCTAACCCAGCAACAGCAGTGGCTGATTAGAGAAGACTGTCTGAACCAGAAACTGTGGGATGAAGTGCTTGCTTCACTTAAGGAAGGACCAGTATGTTTGCAGCTTGCTTATATTATTCTGCATTTTTATGCCAGCGGGAATTTTAGCCTACGTAGATTGAGAGATTTTATTAACTCTCGTCTCATACTTGAAACACTAATGCTAATGAAAAAAAAGATTTATTTATGATTTTGCAAAAAAAAAAAAAAAAAAGCCCAAACAGTAGTAATACCGTTGCTATCTATGTCGTCTTTTACATTGTGAATATATGTTCTCTGGTGTGATGTGGGCATGAGAAATAAGACATAAAAAGAAAGATAATGCTTCTCAGTAATACTGTCTTTACTTAAAGTAATAGACAGGAAATTTAATTTTGTGCTCTAACTCAAGAAGGAGATGATAGAGAAACGCTGGGAAGGCCAGATGTGGATAGTCATATCAAAAGGTTCAGATACCAAGTTAGTTTAAAAAGCACACACATTATCCTGAGAGAGAAAAACATACACTACCGCACATAAAGTTAGTGTAAGGGCCCAATCCTGCAGCTGTTAGTTGGGGGCAAACCCTATTCACATGATTGGGGGCAGCCAGATCAGTCCCTAAGACGGCAAGGGTGTATGTAAAACACAGTGTACAGTATATGTACATAAAATGTTAAGGAAACAACAAGGGATAGTCCAAGGTGGAGGAGACAAAACCTCAATATAAAAATTCCAGAGACCGTATATTCCTTCAAAAGGGTAAGGGCAATAAAACCTCCTCCCTGCCCAAAATATACTATATGTGAACATTAATTAATCGTCATGACACTCTGGGTGGTAGTTATTTTACCCAATTTACAGATGGAGAAATCAAAGCACAGAGAGTGTAAAGCTGAAGGTCAAAAATCAAGTCATGAAAAACTAAGAAATGTTATGCCTTCCCCAGAACAACTTTCTGCCTCTCCAATTAGATTCTTTAAATATTAAAAATACCAACATGCTTGGCTGTAATACTATATGAGTAGCTGGTGATAGTCCATGGATAAGTGAGTTTTATATCATCATCAATAGTAGTTTCTCCCCACCTTCTCATTCACCTTTGCCCTCTTCTCTTCCTCCCCCTTTCCTCCTCATAACTCTTCGCATCTTATTTTTTCTTTTTCCCCTCTCTACCTCTGCTTTTTCCCATCCCAGCCTCCCTTTTTCTTTCCATCTCACCTCCCTCTTCATATCTCTCCCTCTTTGCCTTCCTTATTCTCTGAGCTGCAATCATCAGAGGAAAACATGAGCACAACTGAGTAGATATGGCTGATGTAATGTCCAGTAAAGGACAATATTTAGGGGAACAGACACCCAAAGCAAATGTTTTGATAGTAATTAGTTGATTATGTAAATCACTTTGAATGTGTAGATTGATGAAGAAATAGTAGTAGAAGTAGTAGTATATATATTTATCTTAGAGAGAGAAAAAAAACCCTACTGTTAATAGAGTACACAAACACTTTGCAGGGCCATTGCTCCAACAGCCAGCTCTCAGCAACTATGTTAAATGCCTGCATCAGTATTTGGTACCAGTCAGTCCACAGTATCTATACTTGTCTTCTTCAGGAAAGTCTAAACTCCTTACGATCGCCTGTAAGTAGCTGGTCCTTCCAGACACACAGAGGGAACGGGGAGAACAAAAAACACGAGCAAAACTCTAAAGAAAAGGGACTTCAGAAAAATCCAAATCAGGAAAATAGGATGCCTAAAAATGAACACCATAAAAATTCCATTTATTTGGGAAGTAGCAGGACCAATATACTTCTTATTAACAGGAATTCTCTGAAAGTAGAAGCACCTGTAGTTCCCTGTTCTTCCACTTAAGATACCTCTCCACTACACTGCTGCTAGACTAGTAGCTATAAAGGAGCGGAGATAAAGTTATGAGCCATTTTCTTGTGTTCCCTCCAAGGCATATGTATTAACTTTTTTTGAATGACCGGAGAGGTATAAATCCTAAAGTTATACATAACACAAGGGTATAGTGACATGTATGTGTAACAATAGAAAATACTAGCTTGTGGGAAATCCAGTTACTGGGAAGTAGTTTTCCTCTAGAGTCCTACCTATAATTTTGACACTACCTGATACTATATACATTTCCATACAGCTCCCACTAATGTTAATAGGAGTCAGCTAGATCGCTGCACTGCAAATGGACCGTTTGACCATTAACGCATACTGATGTTCATTGTTTTCACTTGTACTATATATATGGTTCAGTTTGAATCAAACAATTCTGATATTTAAAAAATATTTTAAAGGTCTATATTTTGTGTAATCATAATTCCAGTTTTACTTTTATATGGAGTGAGGAGCTCTAGAGCAACTAAAATATCAGAGTTAGAATCTCCATAAGGCCTACTATGCTTCTAAAATACCCAGTACAAATTTCCCCTGCCCTGATGGGTTGCTTTGGGAAGACTGAGATGTAAGGATGAACGTTTACATTTGCAGAGTGATCTTTTCATTTGTTTTTGCAGCATAGAGCAGTAGTTCTCAAACTTTTGTACTGGTGGCCCCTTTCACATAGGAAGCCTCTGAGTGTGACCTCCCTTTATAAATTAAAAACACTTTTGTATACATTTAATACCTTTATAAATGCTGGAGGCAAATCGGGATTTGGGGTGGAGACTGACAGCTTGCGATCCCCCATGTAATACCCTCACGACCCCCTGAAGGATCCTGACCCCCAATTTGAGAACCCCTGGCATAGAGGAAAGTGATTAAACTAGCCACAGTCCTTCACGAACAAGGTCAGCTCCCAGACTGCTGCGCTGGGCATCACAAAATGGGGAAGAGATGGCCAGCCCTCTGTGGAGATAGAGGTGGTTAGGGACTATTTAGAAAAGCTGGACGTGCACAAGTCCATGGGGCCGGACGAGTTGCATCCGAGAGTGCTGAAGGAATTGGCGGCTGTGATTGCAGAGCCATTGGCCATTATCTTTGAAAACTCGTGGCGAACGGGGGAAGTCCCGGATGACTGGAAAAAGGCTAATGTAGTGCCAATCTTTAAAAAAGGGAAGAAGGAGGATCCTGGGAACTACAGGCCAGTCAGCCTCACCTCAGTCCCTGGAAAAATCATGGAGCCGGTCCTCAAAGAATCAATCCTGAAGCACTTGCATGAGAGGAAAGTGATCAGGAACAGCGAGCATGGATTTACCAAGGGAAGGTCATGCCTGACTAATCTAATTGCCTTTTATGATGAGATTACTGGTTCTGTGGATGAAGGGAAAGCAGTGGATGTATTGTTTCTTGACTTTAGCAAAGCTTTTGACACGGTCTCCCACAGTATTCTTGTCAGCAAGTTAAGGAGGTATGGGCTGGATGAATGCACTATAAGGTGGGTAGAAAACTGGCTAGATTATCGGGCTCAACGGGTAGTGATCAATGGCTCCATCTCTAGTTGGCAGCCGGTATCAAGTGGAGTGCCCCAAGGGTCGGTCCTGGGGCCAGTTTTGTTCAATATCTTCATAAATGATCTGGAGGATGGTGTGGATTGCACTCTTAGCAAATTTGCGGATGATATTAAACTGGGAGGAGTGGTAGATAAGCTGGAGGGGAGGGATAGGATACAGAAGGACCTAGACAAATTGGAGGATTGGGCCAAAAGAAATCTGATGAGGTTCAATAAGGATAAGTGCAGGGTCCTGCACTTAGGATGGAAGAATCCAATGCACCGCTACAGACTAGGGACCGAATGGCTAGGCAGCAGTTCTGCGGAAAAGGACCTAGGGGTGACAGTGGACGAGAAGCTGGATATGAGTCAGCAGTGTGCCCTTGTTGCCAAGAAGGCCAATGGCATTTTGGGATGTATAAGTAGGGGCATAGCGAGCAGATCAAGGGATGTGATCGTTCCCCTCTATTCGACATTGGTGAGGCCTCATCTGGAGTACTGTGTCCAGTTTTGGGCCCCACACTACAAGAAGGATGTGGAAAAATTGGAAAGAGTCCAGCGGAGGGCAACAAAAATGATTAGGGGTCTGGAACACATGAGTTATGAGGAGAGGCTGAGGGAGCTGGGATTGTTTAGCCTGCAGAAGAGAAGAATGAGGGGGGATTTGATAGCTGCTTTCAACTACCTGAAAGGGGGTTC